ATGCTTCACGAGTACAAACTCGGCCGTAATGTTTCGGAGGCAGATAGGAATATCACCAACGCATGGGACGAAGTTACTACAAATGCGCACCACGCGTAGGTGGTTCGACAAATTCTGAAATGGAGACCTGGAAGATCAGGAGGGACGCGGTCGGCCATCGGAAGTTAAAGACGACGAATTGAAGGCACAGATAGAAGCCAACCCAAGAGCATCCACAAGGGAAATTGCTGAAGAGCTGGGAGTTGACTTCGGAACTGTAGCACGTCATTTGAAGAAAATTGGGAAGGTAAAAAACTTGACAAGTGGATCCCGCATGAGTTGACTGAGCACCAGCAATCTCGTCGTCTCGAAGTCTGTTCGTCTCATCTTTTGCGGCATTGTGACCTGTGACGAAAAATGGATTCAGTACGACAATAGACGGCGGTCAGGACAGTGGTTGGATCACGACGAAGGTCGTAAACATTTTCCAAAGCCGGAGTTGTGCTCTGGAGTGTATTCCTTTCCCAATGTTTCCTTTCCTTTGCTTCTTATTGCACCAAAAAAAGGTCATGGTGACTGTTTGGTGGTCTACAGCCGGTTTGATCCACCACAGCTTCCTGGCTCCAGGAGAAACCATCACAGCGGAGAAGTACTGTGAGGAAATCGAAAAATGCACCAAAAATTGCATCGGATTCAGCCGGCATTAATCAACAGAAAGGGCGCGATCCTACTCCATGACAACGCCCGACCGCATGTTTCATTGATGACAACAAAAAACTGATGGAGTTGGGATATGAAACTCTCGACCATCCTCCATACTCATCAGACCTTTCCCTACGGATTATCACTTTTTCAAGCATCTCGAAATTTTCTTACGCGAGAAATGCTTCCGAAACCAAGACGACGTAGAAAAGGCATTCAACGATTTCGTCGATTCCAGAACTCCAGAATTTTATGCTGCCGGAATATCTAAACTGCCTTCTCGTTGGCAGAAATGTGTTGATTCTTTTGTCGTTTCGATTCTTATTGATTCGGTTTCTGGATTGAAAAGCAACATTTTGGAAGCGAGCTAAGATATTTTAAAATATTTGCTTCAAAACGGTTATTATTTTTTGCCACGACCTAAGAGGATAAGGTGACCAACCAGCAAAGTTGATAGTGATTTAGTGATTGCATTGCTGTGGTATGTTTTCACCCAAAGTAGGGTACATCATCGTGATAAGTGGAATGGTGGTGGGTGGTGTCATTGTGAGCCTTCTATTACAGCTTCCAAAGACCATCTAATCAAATTTTTCTAATCAGATTTTTTTCACGATTTCGCCATCGTTCGGGGGAGGGGTAGACAGTTACTGTCGGAGCGTAGTTTCACTGCACCACAAAAAAGTAGGAAGAGCGGTATAGCGCCTCTGAAACGAAAGAAATCAACAATTGGAAAAGACCCCTAGGGGCTGAATACGGTCCCCCCCCCTCCACCGACCGAATACGGCCCCTCTGATGGGAATCATTTCTCTGCAATGTCCTAACATTCTAGTGAAAGGCAATGAAGCCAACTATGAAATCTGATCGCAAACAGGCTTATGCAGAATTCAAAGTCATCGCTTGATAAGACTATTGCAGGCTCCGATAAAGCGGTTCTCAGCAAGGGAAAAGTCTGTTACTATCGGCTCGTTCGTGGTTCATTTGAAACAAAGCTGGAACGAAAACGGCGTGGCCGGCGTTCTATGGGACTCGGTTAGTGCATTTAGTAATTAATACTCATCAGTCAAATAGCATTGTTCAGTGGCAGTCGGTACGTTGGCTAGAAGGCGGAGCAGAAGTCATTGGAGAAAGGGTTTTGACCACATCTCCTGGTGCGCTAGAGGTGATGCCTAGTGTCTTTCCACTACCTTCAACTTTTGCACCGCCTTCTAGCCAGCGTTCTGCATTTAGAAGAAAACTGCTGACCTTTTTTCTTCCCATTATTCATCATCCCCGAGCTCGCTCGTTTGTCCGTTGTTGGTGTTTTTTGCTCCGCCATTTGTATCGCCACGACGTTCCATCCAAGTGTTCCATCAACAACACCCCGGGGAATAAGTTCAGCGCTGAGGGAAAGTGAAGAAAAAAGCCTTCCCGTGAGATAATGTGACTGACCCTCCTGATTTCTATCATTTTCAGGCGATCGTACTCTCGGAGTACCTCAACACCCATGTGGAACTTGTTCGTGATCGACGGGTACTCGAGCTCGGCGCTGGCGTCGGTCTGCCTTCCATCATCGCAGCCAAGCTTTCTGCTAGTAAGGTGCTGGCCACGGATCAGCCTTCAGCGATATCCCTACTCAGAGAGAATCTCATCGCAAATCTGCGTGAGGAGGAGATGACGGCTGCAAGTACTGTACCTCTTGACTGGACAGCTCTTCCTGAAGAGCCCCTGTCGGCAGACATCATTCTGGGCGCTGATCTGGTTTATAATGCGGAAGTTTTTGAAGCTCTACGGGAAGTGATGGAGAAATTCATTACACCTAGTAATTCAATGCTGATGGCAAGTAAGATTCGCTATCCCAAGGACAAACTCTTCTTTGAAACTTTAAGGGACGATTTTGATGTCACCCAGGTACATTACAATGATGCTACCGATGTCGTTCTATTTAGAATTTCAAAAATTAAAAAGGAATTATGAAGCGCCTAGTTTTATGTTGTTGTTATTGCCATTCGAAATGTGGTTTGAGGAATTCTTGAATTTTTGAACACTGATGATAATTTTAGAACATGCTGGCTGAATGATTTCTCTTATTCTACTTTTGTTGATACCTCACCACCCATTATGTCTCTTGCTTACCGGCCCGCTGTGCCACTGTGGGCGGAGCGTGCTCTAACCTATGCACACTCCTATGCCCGGACATCTTGATCGATGCTCTACCCGTCCTTAGCCTTACCTCTCTCTCTTACCTCTCGTAGGTACTCAGGCAATGCCGAAATTCCAGACAGGTCATTAGGTCAAGAAACAAGCGTAGCATTCTATATCTAGACTCAGAACTAGCAATAGGTCCGGCCTGAAGTGAAATGAGTTCTAGCTAAGGAATCCTGTGGAAAAAAAACTCAACGACGTGTGGAAAAAAAAAAAACAAGTTGTGAAATAACGACTGCTTTACCCTCGTTACTTCACAACTCTGCATTCCTTACAAAGCTTCTCTGAGATAAAAAATTCCAAAACGTTTTGAATTCTGATTTAGCCTACCTTTGACAATGAAATAAACAACCACATTTTGTGAAAAAACCTAATCTAGGACCCGTGTTTTACAGTTTCTATTACTGTTCCCATCGTCAATATGTGCGCTGTTTTGTTCGCATTCGTATTTCATAGTTGCAGCACTCATTGTCATATCATGAGAGCCGAATGAAATTTACGTGGAACCACAACAAGTCTTCCTTCCCATGTGGAACTCATGGTCAGTGAGATATCGCGTGAAGTATTCATACTTACTATGATGGCCTTTCGGCTATCGATGAAGCCATATATTAGGTTGGCGGGAAAATTCTGTCACATTTTTCAAAGAAGGCTTTCTTTTTATAGAGAGGCGTGAAAGATCACAATTTGCCTACCAGCCACTTTCCTCCTTGCGGGCTCGCGCCCCCGCGCGTCGGCGGACCGGGCCTTTCCTGTTTCTGTACCGCACGCCCTCGATCACTCGCGCGAGCCATCGCCGGCGCGTTCTCACGGACGAGCAAGACGCTAGCGCCCTCAACTGCTGATCCGACGGAGCATACTCGCCCCAGGCCGCGAGCTCACCCGTCACAGGCACAGTGTCGGCCACGCCGGCGCCAGCCCTCTAGATCCCTCTCGGGCGCGCTTTCAACCTCCACGCAGTCCCTCTCTTCCGGATACTCTTCCTCTGGCTTCCCGCCGATCGCGCGTGGTCCGCGTCGTTTTCTCGCTCCACACAACGATTGTTACGGGAGACAACTCGCAGTTAGAAGGAGCAATGTCTGTGTTACACCACTGCAAAGGGAGAGCCATCCAGCTCTATTGCGTAACGGCTAAACTTTTTTAGACGGAGTGTGCCTGCACATACAACATGGGTAGGGCGGGACTGTGCGGACAAATTTTTCCCTCTGACCGACGGTACGCTTTAGATCTCGTAGCTGCTTTGCTTACACATTGATCGAGGAAGCAGCTTCTTCATCCAGCTTTTTCACGACCCGCAGCTCCCTCAGTCTGAGTTCGCAGGTAACCCAAACCTCACTTCGTCATCAAAACTGTAGGCTTCCTGCTTTGAAGCATTAGCGTCGTGGAAGGTTGTCCGATAATTGAGGGCATCGTCCTTATTCAGCTCCATTATTTTGGCATCTGCAGCTATCATGCTGGCGTAAGGGTGGTGGAAGAAAGAGCTCGAGGAAGCGTCTGGAGGAGTCGGTGCCGATGGTAGCGGATAAAATCCTTGTTCATATTGCAGAAGAAGCAGGAGTCAAGTGGTACTAATAAAAAAAAGACACTTCTTGATGTCTAAGAGCTCACATTACCAGTTACCCCTCTTCAGGTAAAGGGCAAGTATTTTGAGTTCGAAAAGAGTGACACGAAAATTTCCGCCCAACCTTATTAGAAAACCAGATTGGCAATGTAAAAGTCAAGAGGCCCGAACAAAGAAGCAATCCGCGCGCTATTCAGACATTTATATAATGAGGTTATGTTGGGGAGAGTTCCCGACCTCGCTACCTACATTTCCCACAGCTATTCGTCAAATGTAACTTTAATTAGAAGTAGGGCGAAAGCTAGCGCTTGTGAAAATCTGGCTACTGGAATGTTTACAGAAACATCCAATTTCCTGTCCTGGAATTTCACACAAGACAACATTCTCTAATTACATTACCCCTGAACTCTCTCGAGCTGCTGAGCGATGAATACCGCAAACGATCAACTATTTCCTGCGAATTGACCTTTTTTAGAAATGTCATATTTGAGTCTTTCAGTAAATGCTTCATATAGGAAAGAACTGCAGAAAGAAATAACAAATAACAATGAAAATATCAGTTGTAGTAGCTGTGTAATAACTAGAACTACCTCAGAGCGTCTACAAAAAAAAAGCTGTTCTCCCGTACACGATGCTTCTGCAGCCTACTCGCCCAATCGTTCTAACAATAGAAAACTTAATTCCATTAGGAAAATGCTCTCGTACAGGCAGCTAGAGTTTAGTAGTTAGGGTCTGCCTACAGTTATAATCCTCTCGAACTAGCGGTACTAATCCTGTTGCTGGAGAACAAACTCTATGTCTGCTTCATGAGGTGCCTGACAGTAAAACACAGGTTCTTCAGTATGTGCCAGACGAGCGAGTGCTACGGGTGTCGCCGGGGTTTATCAAGCATTTTCTTGTCATTAAGGAAACGCGGAATTGGACCATTGGGAACAAATGTTACACAGTGCGCTGCATCGCGTTGACTTTCATCATATGAGAAGGAGGTGGGGTGAATAGAAAAATGAAAGGCAAAAGACACGACAGACCGCCTCAACTCGACGTGAATCATTTCTGATGCCGCTAGTCAACTGGTTCTCTCCCTTTTTCGCTGCACCGGAATCCTTTACCGATTCTCCCAGAAAGCTTTTGGCGTGAACAGTCAACCGATACGCTTATAACTCCCTCGCAGGTTTCCAGTTCGGGCTGTTTCATCGCGTATCTGGAGCGCCGTCCATACAGCAAGAATTATTACTCGGGTAGATCCATGTCCAATTTTCAAGATCGCCTGATCTAATGATTCTGACACTATTGGAAAGGATCTTTTTAATTTCTAATCCCAAAACTTCCACGCAGGAAGAGTATAGGTAGGAACGCTCGCCCACAGCATAACACCCACGGTATTCAGCAATAAGATGAGGCTAATGAACGCGCGCGCAATTTGATAGGCTCCATGTTAATACTCAGCAAACTATCCTAATCCACCTATTCTCCTTGTAATTTAGTGCATTCCAGCTTGCTTCAGAACCCTTTTTACAGTAGAAGGCTGCAGCTGGTCTCGAAAAAGGGCTACTAATAGAAATTTAAAGAAAATTTGAGTAGGATAATTCCTAAAAGGGAATGGAAAGGTGGTTGGTTACAGCTCATTCTCACATTAATATGATCCATAACCACCAGTGGGCCTAGTTGAGATCCACTAGCTCCTGAAGCACGTAAGATCTGTCAGTGCACAATACTCTCCCAATGAATAATTGTTCTGGCTGTAGACGCTAGGTGTCAAGAGGAGGGGGCTGGATTTGGCGCTGCCCTCTACCAGTTGTCGAAGCGGTCAAGAGACATCAAGCAATGTAACCGACCATGAACAAAAGCAAAAACGACTATACATGCCTCGATTTCCGCGAGAAAGTCAGCTCTCGAAAAAAACTGCCGAGGAAGAAATAAGGTAAACCGAATGTGGAATATCTGCCTCAGAAGTGTACAAAAACAGTGATAAAACTACTACGAAGTCCTCGCAAGCAATTCAAAAACCCAGTAGCTCTTGAACGCCTTCAAATTTGTTTCATAAACTCAAAATCCGTCTGAGGTCAGCTTCTCTAATAATGATATCGCTATGGAGAGTTCGAAAGATTTCATGAAAGAATCACAAATTCCACATTTTTCCGTGGTGCACCTGCATTGTGAGCCAAATCGCTTCAGACATTCGGAGTCCTTAGCGCATTCCTTTGGGCTGCCATGACGAGGACACACATAGCAGACAGCCATTGAGCCTTGAGAACGATCAGAAATTACCAGTTGGAGAAGGCGTCGAAGTCGCGGCATATTTAGTCGGGCATCGGCGCCAAGCACAAACTGTAAAGTTCAAATTCACTCAGGTTTTCAGCAGTGTCTAAAGGAAAAGTTTAGCGTATTGTACGCTAAAGGAATCAAAGCGCAAAGTTACTTCAGTGGTACCTCCTTTTCAGCAGTGACATCGTCCCCAGATTAAGCCTCCAAAGTCCGCCTATCAGCCAAAAGTAATGCTACAGGGCAAGTAGCATGAAGTGAATGCTTCTTTGTCTCTTGCAGAATTATAGGGTTCACTACTAGCAATCAGCCGACGGGACTCATCCCAGCGCACAATCTTTAATTTTGTACAATTGTTTGAGGCTGGAGGAGTCCTAATAAAAGCCTTTCCTACGTTGCCTTCGCACTTTCTCTTCACAGACGATTCATTTGGCAAATCTTTCTCCATATTTCTTCAACATCAGCTGCGCTCCTTATGACGTACAGTGCCTTGGAGGTTGAGTGTAGGTTCACAAAATTCTGAATATAGACGTCATAGCGGAGCTCAAACTGCGAGGTCGACGCCCAAGTGACTACGATGTGAACTTGCATACCAGAGTGCTGATCACCCCCTCCCCAGATTATTTTTTTATATGAAATTGAAAAGTCATCTAAAGAAATTACCAGGACATACATTTCTCAATTCTTTATCTGGGAATGTAAAGGACACCCGTGGGTTGGCCTCACTATATGCAGATTGAGCTGAATTAACTTGCGACAGTGTATTACGGCACTGTCTTGGAAGCTAACTGTCATTAGTCAACGACAGTCGGCCAGCGACAGACAAGTAACGAGATTGTCAATTTCTAGGTAGTATCTGGACCGAGAACGTTTAGGCATAAACTAGGTCTACCTCAGGGCACATGGTCGCGGAACTTTTCGATATGATCCCTCCTCCTCTTTGCCTCGTTCACCACTATACCTGTGACTGACACCGGAAGGAAGGGAGTTTTCATTCATGTCACCCCGCCACCAGAAAATATCTAGTTTTTTCGTAAAACACATCCGACTTCCCATTCCCAGAAACGCTGAAGCCCCTCGACAACCCAAGCACGACCAATCCCGACGTAAGATGGACAAAAAACCTCAAAAAGTTTTCCAAGAATGATTTGCCTCCATCTCGTGTTAAAGTACATAGTTGTGGTCTTTTCAATGAAATGTTCGCGCACACACTATTTCATGGATGTATGAACCAAGTACCTACCTGTTCTTGTTCCACCATCTCCTGCTTTGAAAATAAATTCGACAAGTGACCAATCTCCGCCTTGACCAGTTTCAGGTGGCGGCGGAGAAATTTGTAAACCAGGAAGATATTCGACGCATTGAGTGAATTGTGATTGATTGACAGGGCATCTTCCTAAATTAACATTTCAGAAAAAAGGAAATAATTTTCATACGTTAAGTGGAGCATGAAGCAGCTGTAAATTCAATCTCTCTTACAAGGTTGTGGACTTGATGATACCAGTTCGTCGGAACAAAAACAATTTCTCCAGGATTCTGAACTAAGGTTATCACATCTGCCTGAAAAAAGGGACAATAATACTCCTCAGGTACCACACAATGGCAAAATGTTTGTCACTAAAACGAGAAGTGACATCGCTTCATTGTTCGCCTTCTTATTCAATTTGGGAATCCGTCAATCTTCTCCGGTCTGCTCTGAATCCTGCTTCCAGTCAGTTAATATACTCCTGGTCCTCGAGCGCTCTCTTATCGGACCAGCGCATTCCAGGACACACTCCGCCCTTTTGTGGAATCTTACGCTTATCTTGCGGCTGTGACCACTTTAAGAGTCTTGCCCACTTTTGCAAAGTGCACCTTTTCTAAGGCTAACGTCATCTACCTTCGACTTCTCATTCACGGCCTAACAGGCGTTGCAAACGGTGTGAGGTGAACAGTACCCGCACCAGGACCCAGCACACAACATGTAGTCGCTGCGCGTCGACCCTATCCCCATATTAACGCAAGCAAAAGGCCAAACCGACCTTCTATCCCTCCCGGGCCAGTATATGGTATCAGACTCGTTTGAGAGTATACGGTGGACAACAAGTCATTGTCTGGGTTAAACTGCATTCAAAAACGACAACATTCCTGAATGCAAGTAGAATGAGAGGCATATCCCAAAAAGGGATTCATCAAGTGCTTTACCTTTCGACTTCTTAGCTGATATCAATCTTCAAAAGAAAGCAGACCTACCTCCTCCCATAAATCCTGATACGGTCTGATATCTTCGACAATTTTTTTGTTCTGCATGAAAAGATTCTCTTTGCTAGGAGGAACAAAATACCATAGTTTCCGTCCGCAAATATTTGCTGACCAGCTATGTGACGACATCACATCCGAATGGAACTTCGTCCTGAATCCATAAAAACTGAACTAAGTAAGCACTGATAGTGGTTACGCTCTTCGGGCTTGCACAACAAGAAGACTTCTTAGGGTACTGTAGCCGAGAATGGCTTCTCAGCGCTCCCAGCTACCTACCCAAGCTGTGGAGCTACAGTAAAATTACCAGGAATCTTTCACTCCAAAGTAGACGAATCGATAGTCACCACGAAAAGGATTCTCTTCGTCGTCGGTCCACTCTTCACGATTCACCCAATCACTTGATAGCATCGCCGGCACGTGATACATTTTCACTCCGCATCTCAAATGAACTACGAAGAGTGCAGTGCATTTTTCACAGGTAGTGGTCAGTCATGTACGTAAACTGAGAATGATATCATGTACAAAAGGTAAATAGCCTCCATGTGTGATAAGGTAATCACTCCTGTATGGTTCAAAGGCACATTCCACGACACCCAGATGGGCACAAGAAGAGTGCTATTGTGTCTCCTCCATTTGACACTTCTCTTTTCGACGTGATGAAGAGCGGAGACGAACCAATGAGGCTGTACTGCTCTCTGTCCGCCCATCGGATCAACACGGAATGTGGCTTTGAGGAACAACCATGTTGTCAGCTGCACCGCTCATGACAGACGAATAATAAACGACAGAGAGATGGGAGATACCTTTTCTGGAAATGCCAATCCTTCACGTATCGAGGCGATGAGTCACCAGCTAAACTTGGATCCTTGCAGTAGTCGCAAAAATCCGAAAAGGTCATTTCTTGCGGGTCACACTGATCTTCTGCAGTGACAGGAACCGCTTCAGCACCTGAACAGAAAAACGCGCGGAACTTTCTGAGATGTTTCTCATTTTTGAGATCAAACATCAGTTTTCGAACATTACGTGAACAGTAAGGTTAATAGCAGTCACAAAAGCCCTTATTGATCGAAAACTAGTAAGGTGTATAAGATAGTTGAACATTACTTCAAATCACCTACAGCCATCTACCGCAATTCCCTCCCTTTAATCCAGATTGAATCACTTGCACAGAAAATTGTTCCATTGGGAAAACTTAAGGCCTCGCTTATACTTTGCGCCTTGACACCACATTTCTTTCGGTAAGGAGGTGTCCACACGACTCGAGCTGCTGAAACTGACGGCGCTTGACCCTTAATCGTTCGATAACCTCCTCGGTAGCGCCTTTGTGTTTGTTCACCAAACAAAGACTCAGACTTAGCGGAAACTTGCCTTTTCTGTGAGGCTATTCTCTTGCGACTCTGGCCGTCTACGCTCTAGCCGTAAGCCTTCTATTAAGATAAAGAGTTTCAGTGGCGCGGCCATTCTCTTTTCCACCAGTTGCGTTAGTGGCAATTGCTTGGCAATTGCTAGCCCTCACTTAATCCTGGGCAATCGGTCGAGAGCTGTTCAATGTGAACGTGTTTGTACAAAGTTGTAGCGGTCTTACGACTTGCAGCGAACAGATGTGGCATCAGTCCCTGCAGCCGCAAACCATGAACGCACTTTGAGGATTATTGCAAAAAATGACTTGTGTGGTGAGGACTATACTCACACAAATTTCCGAAATTGGAGTTTTTTTATTCATCCACAGTTCAATTTTATGTTGAAGTTATGTCGGAGATGTCAGAATCTAAAGGGTATTCAAGAGCGTCATCGCGAATTTTTTTTTGGGAAAGACTTAGTCCCACTTTGCTTACGCACATGTGTTTTCACTTCCTCTATTCATCCCATATTCTGAAAAGGATAAATACTCCCAAACTGCACTCACTGAGGAGATGTTCTGTTAAGCCTTGTTTGTCCTATGAGAAAAGTGCAACGAATCTAACGCACTTTCATGAAAAGAAGAGCTCTGAGCGTACCAGCCAGTGCGCGCTCTAAGAATCTTGAAAAGGACACAGCAGATTTTGCCCTTGAAAAGAGGAGCTGTCTTGGTCAGACTGACAAAGAAAAATGACGCTGTGGAAGATTCCACAATAAATCGAGATGAAATATTACTGAAGCAATATATCAATGACAGAGTAGTTACCATAACACTTGCGAAGAAAATCCAAATTCGGTGTGCCATCTTCGCGAACCCATAATTGACGAGCCGGCCAGTCAGCTGTGAATGCCTCCGACAGAACGCACGGTTCATTACGAATGCAGAACTTGGCAAAACACTCCAGCCAAGAATCTGTCATCCACATTGATCCGAGGAATTCTTCCGTCATCAACCATCGTTGTCTCCAGGACGACCAAATGCTGTTATGTAAGAAAATCACATCAAAGGACTATGAAACTCGTAAATTACCAGAGCATGTTCAAATACGCTGGGACTACGGTCGATTTGAAAGAAATACGTGAGAAACACCACGCTAGAGCGCCTCTACGAAGTAAGAAAAGTTCAAAAATAAACTGACAAACCCATTCTGAATCGATAAAAAAGCAGGCCTTTCAACTTTCAACGTTTTCAACTTAAATGCCAAGAAAACTCAATAGAGTTTATGCATATGAAGGCAGAAACGAGGTCCAGCACTAATAATATTATTGGACCCTTCTGGTAGAATGCCTACCACACAATAGAATAGGCAATTGGGGGAGGAGCAAAAGCGTGCACGAAATCGGGAGCATGCCCTAACTCTCCGCCTATCCATATGCGAAAAACCCACGTCTGATATAGGGACAACCGCATCCTTCCTTTCACAGCAGAAAATCCATTTTAATCCATTTTGTTCAGCTTTTCGGTCCAAGGATAGGATATCTGCGCAATTTACACACTACATAAATGGGTACCATAAACAAAGAAAATGTGATTTATTCATCACCAAAGAAACAGTTCGTAGAAAAAAAAAGCAAACCCAATTTGCTTTAGCATGCAACATCAAATTACAACAAATTTGCTTTAGTCACACTGGTAGAACATGTGTGAGTTCTGTTTAAAATTCTGGTGTTATCTGGCTTGACTGCCCCACAGTTGGAACTCCAGACCAGATTTCAACAGTTATTCCCCAAGGTCGTAGTCTTCGCTAGTGCCCGCCACGGCGGTAGTTAGATCATGTGAAAGGAGTGTGACATCGGCTACACAAAAGACCAATTTGGCGCAGAACGGATGTGGTAGATACGCCCAAATGATCAGATTACCTTGTGGACAAAGATTCAACCGAGTACTCACCCACAGAAAAAATTGGTCAAAATCTGGATTGAATTGTGAAATTATGAAATGTAGTTCAGTAAAGGGCAACTAGAGTCAAAAACGCAATCAACCCATAATCTTAGGTTAATAGAAATAACACAACGAAGCACCACAACTATTTACAATACACTATAAGTACATATTCGTTGTGAATTGAGAACTGTTTAGATGATATGGTACGCCGCAGAGGCAACATGCATGAACCGGGAATCGAAACGAGAGTCATCGGGGTTTTCTGATGCATAGAGTTCTTAAGACTGAACATCTGATGTCACATTAGATCCGGATACTCATCATCTGCTTCATTGTCAGCCTCGTCTGTAAAGCAACGGAATTTTGACGAATCCCACGTTACTTTCAGCTCTTCGTCACTATTGGTCCGAGTAATGACTATTGGCAAAGCTTCACTCTGTAAAACACAGCCGTATACAAAGTATGCAAAGTGTGGACTTTGAGAAGCCTAAACATGAGGTAGCGTTCAGACTTCGCGACAACGTCCTACCATTGCAACCGCGCTCCAATGCTATGGACGGGACCGTCTTGGGACATCTAGTCCTTTTTCTCTGCGTCTCATTTTGAAGTTAGACGCCAGGCAGATGAGCACGCCTCGACAGACACCTCGAGTTAGGAATAATCACAACATCCACTTGAACAGTGTCCCTTCCTCTTTACATTAAGATTACTGCTAGTAAAAACCTAAGTAAAGTCTGTATAACTTGCGTAGGAGCTAATCCACTATAATTCTTTGCACAGCTCTCACGGTCTTTAGAACCGTTGCAAACTTTTCTCTCAATCATAAAGAAAAGGAAGAGAAAATCGGAAAACTGAGACAATGAAATCAAACGGACAGAAAAGCTTCCTGCCCAAGCGTAGAGTATAACAAGTGCCATGGTCGGTGAAATGATCACTCCTTGCTCTAGTGTGAGGAACATTGGGAACGGAACATTTTATTGCCTGAGCTTACAACTCACAGGGAATTAAATCAATCGAAGTAGGAGAGAGTAGAGTACAGACAGCTAGGAAAACTTCAATCTCTCCCACACAAATCGGATCAGTTGCCCTACAATTAAACGGGAACGCATTCATAGATGTGTATCGATGATTCATTAGCCACTGTTTTGGGAGAGTACAGAAGAATGGGAGGGGACCAGACTGTAGGCACCCGCACCCTATCATTCTCCCATACTTTCTGAAACCAGCAGCAGCCCGTGCTAACTAATACAGATCTACGGCTGCGTTCCTGTCTATAGCATTGGAGCACGGTTGCAATAGTAGCGAATCGACGTCCGTCACCGCTAAATGGAACACTGCCTGAGAAGAGGATGAATCACTAACCTTATGCGGAATTCCACGTAATAACTCTGTCGCTTGATAGTCTTCAGAGTGTCTATAGTACACCAACGAGATTTTCCTTCCACCATGTAACCATTGCTAGAACGGAGGTCAGGTTATAATGCTGCTTGGCACAGTTCAGGACACTCGCGGTGCGGCATTGCGTTCAAACCAACTACAGTTCCTAGCTAGCTGACTTGACATAACCCTTTGTGTTACGACAGCCCACATTTCTCACCATTTAAATTACGGCACAATCTCATGAAATTCGGACATCACATTCAAAATTCCGAAGATCGGTGACCACCATTCTGTAATCGAAATCGTTGTGTAATGAATTTGATCACTTTGGGACCCTAGAAGTACCGCCAAGCTCGTTTCTACTAGCTAGCCTGTGGGACTGGTTTGCATGCAGGAAGTGGTTTCGATATTCCGCTTCTGTCCTGAACAAAACACCCGTCTTCGAGTAAAATTTTCAACTAACATGGATAAGTTTTCGCGCTCCATGAACTGATATATTAGTTACTCCAAACAGTTCGATGGAATCTGCATCAAGCGAAAGAAGGTCTTCATCACTGATGTCTAACAGATCACGTCCATCTGCACTAGAAGATCGCACCGTGACAGACCATGCCTAGTGAAAACAATGATGCGCAACGAATGAAGGTGTTATGAGGAGAGAAATACCTTTCGAAGCACATGGCTTTGGAAAGGAAGATTTTGGAAGAAATTGCTGTCTCGCAACACTATGTCAATAGTCTCAGCGCCTGAAAGGACTTCAGAGCTTAGTCTCTGAAGTTCTCTGTGAAAACGAGACTTGGAAACTAAAAAAAAAAACAAATAGGGATGGAAACCTGTGGCATCAATGAGCGACACGATTTCTTGGGAGATCATCCTATTCACAACTAATTGCAGATGACTAACTTTCGATTTTGATCGGCGCAGTACGCGCGTAACAACTTCCATATCGCTGCCTTCGAGATCTACCTGAACGTTTATGCTCATCCAAAAAAAAATCAATTTTCTTTTCGAAGGTGGAGGACCTTGAACGAAAATCGACGGCCGAACAATACTCAACCCTACCAACTTGAAACAAAGAACGTTCGCTCTGAGGACAAAAATGAGGTGTTCTTCAAGTGCAGTGCTTATTGAAGGAACATCGAATTCAGTCGACTTATTTGCTTTATCCCATTTCATCCCACAGAACCCTAAAAGACTTCCTCTAAAATGGTTAACAGAGAATTATTTATGAAGTGGGTATAAATTTACCTTCATTGTTGTAAAAGTCGGTAATATCGCCAAGTTTCATAGTGGAGACCGTGGTTTCGTTGAATACGCATGACCAGTTCTTCTTAGCGCTTTTGAACGAGTTCCTCGAAACAGAAAGTTTGAATCGCGACGCCTATAAAGAAAACACTGCAAAGTAGTACTAAAGAACACTCTACTCAAGCAGAAATGCTGTTTCATCAATAGAGGTTATGGCGAACAAACGTTGAAGATTTTCTGAACACAGCACATCATCTGCATGTGGGAAATTGCTGTGCTTTCGACCCGCTCCTCCCCAAAAGAAGAGTTTTAGTAGGCCCCTCCACCAACACATTCCGTCCTTTAGCCCAAACTTCGGCTGCGCTCATACTTTACGTCAGCGGTTTGAGCGTTTCGAGCGTACGCCGGTCTGACTATTTAGCGGACAGTTTTGAACTTTCTGCCGGTCGTCGCTGAAAACGCTGGTGTGAGCTCAAATCTTCATTGATAACTTTACTTTCCTAGAAGCTCAAAACGCTGCCGGGCTCCGAACGCTGACGCAAAGTATGAACGCACTCTTTCCCGAAATCTGAAAAGGAAAAAAAATCACCAATCAAAAAGATTTCTATAAAAGCGTAAAACAGTCCCCTTCTCTCAGTGACCAGATTCGGCACTATTCAACTATTACTACCCCAAAAAGTCAAAAAAATTTTTTGCTGAAACTTTGCCCACAGAGGTAATTCGGTGTCCTGATCACGAATATAGCACTCGTTTTCGGCGCTGGCGCCAAATTGGCGCCAGTTTGGCGCCGCCACCTTTTTCACCAAATTCGGTGTAAATTTGCATAGTAGGGTTACTTGATGTACTGAGCACGGATACCGCATTAGCATTATTTCACCCTGGCGCCATTAGGCGCTAATCTGGCGCCACATCTTTTTTTCATCAATATCGCTAGAAAGCTGCAAACAACGTGGCTTGGTGGCCTCATCACGAATATGACATTTATTTTTCGACGCCAGCGCCATTTAGCGCTTTTCTAAGGCTGAGCCTGGGAGAAAGAGTGATTTCCTTCAGGTCAGGCTCAGCCTTAGCAGAGCGCAGATGATCGCAGCGTCTTCCATCAGCGCAGCGTCAAAAATGAGCGCAGGCGCTCGAAGGTGGCCCCTAGGTTCAAATAAGCCGCTAACATAAGTGTAGGACCGGAAATTTTCGTAAAACCACAGTCCGTACTCCCGGCCCATCATAAGGCATTTCGAAGTGGCCTAATTTCGACATTGCATTCATCTGGACTCGGAGAAGTTGATAAACGTCTATTACATAGATTATAAAGATGAAGATTAACACATTGCGAACCGCCACACTGCGCACATCTCCGAATCAATTCATAATTTCGTAAGTAATTTATCGGAAATTTGCTTGTAAGGTAGGTATCTTCCGTAAACGAGAACGTGCTTGGGCAACATTAGAACATGAAAGCCAAATTAATCGAATAAAACACCGCATAGAGACGAATTTTTGACACACCATGTGTGTCACGCGGTCCGGAACGTATTAACTTGGACAAAGTTTTGCGTTTTTTATTCTATTGCTGTGTATATGCGCAGGCCAATTTTCTACGAGACCAGCTAGGAAGTGTTATGTGAGCATTTCATCAGAAGTTTGAGCTTATTCACGATATGCAGGAGGAAATACTGAATGCTTCCGAAACCGCAGACAATTCTTCAACTTGATAATTTTTGATTGCTGAGAGATGAAGATACAGTTCTAAGGCTAGGATTCGTACTCAGTTTGCTCTGGGGTCGTATGGAAATTAGATCAACTCCTGAAAAAAAGGAAATGAGTATACGGATACATCACCATTTATATCACGAGAAACCGGAGCAGGAACCGTAAAATATCCGCATGTTTGAAAGCATCTACTGCTATCTCCTTTTCAGCCTCTGCTTCAATAAAATATACTGATCAGGATCATATGTACTCGATCAAGTTGATCTTAAACCATTTCTAAAGTTCCTTCCTTGCAGCATGTGGGAACGATATGCTAACTTGTCAGGCATATGCAACTGACCCTACAAAAAGGCAGAAAGACTGTTTTGATCCCTCTCATAATCCTCTCTTTGACAAATGGCTACCTTCCGTTCTCTCTGAATCCAAAAGCAAGCGCATGTAAATTTAGGCCAGCTTGATGTGCCCACTATATGCCACAAGAGGACGGTAGCTGGTCCTGCAACGAAGCTAAGTACTTCGAAAAATTCCGGTCTTGCACTTAGTGGCTTATCAGATTCAACCTCCGACATTGCCCGAACAATGAAATTTTTGAATTTCCAGTCTTGTTTGAAAATTTTTTTGGAATTTGATTCGAAAGCTGGTGTATGTTTCCAACTTCCAAACTTACCCCCTCCCTGTCAAGCGATACGCTTGTGATCCATGTGCGAGGTACAAGGTGAAGATTGGCGTTGATTATACTCCTTGTTTTCTTGTTCAACATTAGACAATTACATATGTCGCCATAACTCAGCCGTGAAACAATTGCCAACACCATTTCAGGTGGAAGATCGTTAAAATCGATCACCATCACCTAAACACAACCTCCATCAGTAGGGCAGGAGATCATCAACCTTTTTTTGCGAAGGGCACGCTATACGGCTTGCATTGAAAGCAGCTTGACACTACCGAAGCAGTAACACCGAGAGCAGCTAGCAAAAGCGGAGGCACATCGAAAAGACTTAAGACGTGCAGTAAAATGTATTGCTGCCGCAGATGCAAACACACACTATCTCACGCAATGTTTTTATTCCCAAGCTCGGTTACTAAATTGTGTTTTGCTTCTTCTGTTTTGTCATAAATAGAATTTATTTCTGCTTCTCGTGATGATGTGCTATAGTACGCCCAGATCCATGTTTTCCCAGTAGGCGGAAAACCAGAATTGATTACAAGTTTCCTTGTAAAGTAACTGAATATGTTCCTGCAGGATCGTAAATCATGTTACATGCTTCTAAGTATAAGAGGAATATTAAGCTCCCGAATGTTTCCAAGACACATGCTTTCCGCATTCACTGCGAGCACCTGGAGACAGCTGGAGAATTCGCGTTTGGATTAGATATGAATCGAATGGTTTGGCTCTGTCAACATCGAGAATCGCGAAAAGGACAGCAGACGTGTATCGGTCATGAGAAATCCGGGAAAAGCATACTTGTTGTTTTGGGTGGTCGATTGTCGATATCCCCACAAGCATGTGTCTTACTGATTCTCATTTCTTATCCTATGCAAGCGTTATGCAATGGAAGAACTTCCAACAGTAATAATACATCTGGAAGAAGCATGAAATAGCTAGCATGACACACCATGACATACCTTGGTGCTTGATATCCTCCAATTCGGTAAGAGCGCGTTCAGACTTCGCGATCGCGCGATCGGATGGCGCGATCCCAATCTCGCTGTTGGGATGGGTGAAATTCAGCGGGGCGGCGTTCATGCTTGTTCATGTTTAATGTTTCTCTGAGAATGGTGCTGTCCCGGAGTCTCATTTCTTATCTGAGTGTGTAACAACAATGTGAAACTCCAAAAGTTTATTCCAAAAGACTCAAAAGACAGTGAGCCTCAA